AAAGAAATCTTACCTCCGCAGATCCAGTAAAGAAAATCCACCTAAGGAAAATAACTTAATTAAGCCTTAATTGAGTCTCCAGTAAAGATCCTCCTTAATTAAGCCACCGTGACTCCAACAAAGATTCGCTGAAGGATATTTCGCAGCTCCAGTAAAGAAAAGAAAATCCTTTTCCAATTACTCTGCTCCGCTTTCCTTCCAGAATTTCCTCCGAACTTCCCTTTTCCGCTTCCGCCAAGATTCAACAAAGGAAATTCAGAAAATTCTCCCAAACTTTCTTCTCCGCAGCCTAGATTCCCTTCCTCCTCTCTCGTGTCTAGCAAAGGAATCAAATTGGCTCCCTGCAAAGGAAATTTAGCACAAGGAAATTTCGTGAGGGAATATTCCTGAAGATTCCCTTTTGATTCCCATTCCTCCTCCGCCTTCCTTCTCCTGTCCCTGGCCGCAATTCACCGTCTTGTTCCTTTGTTGAATCCCTGGTCGAGCGCAAATTACCGAACTTCTTCTCGGCAAACTCCTCGCCTGGTTTGGTCGTTCTGCTCTCAAAGAATTCCATGTACGCGAATTTACACCTTCCTTGTTGAATCTGTATCGCGATTCCTGCTCGTTGAATGTCGCGAGTCCTTCGACTTGGTCGTGATCCTCCCTGTGAAATTGCCGCAAAACTCGTCTGTTCACACTGAACTTTCAAGGATCTTCTTCCTGCGAAATTCGAACTGTGACGAATCAGATGCCCTATCTGTCGAACTCCTCGAACAAAATTTTATTTGTCCCTGCGCTGCCAAAATTTTTCTTCCCTACCCTAGAATCTCGCTCTGACACTACTTGTTGAGAAATTAGGGCAAAGAAAAATATGAATCGACACAAATTCAGAAGAACACAAAGAGATTTAACGAGATTTGGCAAAGATGCTTACGTCCTCGGGAGCAGAACATCGACTTCCTTTTCAATATTCAGAAAAGAATACAGAATGCAAGATTCAACTCTCTCAAACACCTAAGATTACAAACATGTCTATTTATAATCCTAGAGTAAACCCTACAGTACAATATGTAATTCCCAAATTACTCTTGTACCGTATAGTGGGGCGTTGGCCCAGTACCCCCAACTCACATAACGTTTCCCGATTTGGACAGATTCTTCCGCTCCGCTCTGCTCCGTTCCGCTCCGCTGCGCTCCGCCCCGCTCCGTTCCAGCGTCTGTCTCTATATTGTATATGAGTCATACCATAACAGCTTTTAATGGCTAGGTGGAGCTAGATTGGTCTGAGTGGGAATAAATTAGATTGAATTATCATGCAAAAATAATATTTTTAAAATGTTATCGCAATTCGTAACTGTACGAAGGTTACTAATTTATTATTATTATTATTATTATTAGTTTCCTATTTTGTTCGTTAAACTAAATTATATTATAGTCATTGTTTTAACTTTTAATTTATTGGACTGCTTAGAAATTAGAATGGCCGTCCAGCAGGCACAAATAATACCGGCCTGAGTTCTGAGCATGGCCAAAATTCAAAAAAATAATAAAAAACAATATTTTTTAGATGAAGGGATCAAAATGGTGGAGCGTGCCTTTTTATTTTTAATTTTATTCATAATGATATGATTTTACACTTTTATTTAAATATATAAAATTTTCAATTTCTTCAATATCCCATTATCTGCCCGGGAAACACATTTATTATGAAGCACCACGCGACATGTCCGGAAACCGTGTTTGTGATTTAGAGGGTCTTAATGACCATACTCTGCTGTTTGGCTAGATTTCGCATCAGTCCGTTCGAGTCTTTAAAAAGTAATATCAGTATTTGTTCCGGCCATTTTTGTGCTCTATTAATTAGTTGCCTGCCTTGAGTTTTGAGAAAAAAATTATATCATGACTTTTAATGTAGAGCTATGTTTGGATTGAAATATTCATCAACGGATTGAAATATTCGACTGTGTTATAGGAATATTTCATCTGTGTTATTTGTAGAAATAATGTCTTATTCGAGTATTATATGGTGTTATTCGATTATTTTGCGGTGTTATTGGAATATTCCATTGCGTTACTTGATTTGGGACAAAAGTGTTATTGGAATATTCCCCCGCATTATTTCATTTGGGGCTGTGTTATTCCAATAAGATAGTGAAAAATGAAATAACAAGGGGAATATGTTGAATAACATAGCGTCAAATCAAGTAATGCGATAGAATATTCTAATAACATCGTAAAATATTTTAATAACACCATATAATACTCGAATAACACATCATTTTTACAAATAACGTAGATGAAATATTCTCGTAACACAGCTGAATATTCCAATTGGAATATAGCTCTATGTTAAGAGTCCTGATGTAATATTTTTCCTAAGAGCTCTACGTTAAGAGTCCTGATGTAATATTTTTCCTAAATCTTGGCCCTTCACTTGTTATTATTTTAAATTGATACATCTTCAACAAATTTTCATTATCAAGCTCAAAGTAGGACACATATCTCAAAGTATTTTTTAGAACAAAAAATATTTAAACTTAAATAAAAAATCATTCGGGGGCCTCGTTTCAACAAACTTATAATCTAACTAATCAAATTATACTCTGCTCAGTATTATTATTATTATTATTATTATTATTATTATTATTATTTTGAAGAAATTGAGTACCAAACGGTACAAAGCTAGACAAGCTCATGCCATGGCATTGAACCGGTGCGCTTCAATTTTATACTAGTTATACCTATCCAGCCCCATCAAACTTGATCGAATACTAATATTTATATTTAACAGCCGTCGCCGGAAAAGGCTTCATAGCCCGCGACATAACCTTCGAGAACACCGCCGGCGCATCAAAACACCAAGCAGTCGCTCTCCGCTCCGACTCCGATCTCTCCGTCTTCTACCGCTGCGGCATTCTTGGCTACCAAGACACCCTCTACGCCCACTCTCTCCGCCAATTCTACCGCGAATGCCGCATCTCAGGCACCGTCGACTTCATCTTCGGCAACGCCGCCGCCGTCTTACAAAATTGCCAGATTCTCTCCCGCCTTCCCCTCCCCGACCAAAAAAACACCATCACAGCCCAAGGCCGCAAAGACCCCGATCAGAACACCGGCTTTGTTCTCCAGTTCTGTAACATCACCGCCGACGTTGATCTGTCCAACGCCAAAAACTCCTTCACCCAGACATATCTCGGCCGGCCCTGGAAGGAGTACTCTCAGACCGCTATATTGCAGTCGTATATCGACGGTTCGATTCGGCCGGAAGGGTGGCTCCCCTGGAACGGTGATTTCGCGTTGAGCACGCTTAATTATGCGGAGTATATGAATTTTGGACCGGGTTCGGGAGTTGGGGGTCGGGTCAAGTGGCCCGGTTATCATGTTATTAATAGTTCGGTTCAGGCTGCTAATTTTACTGTGTCGCAGTTCATTGAGGGCAACCTTTGGCTGCCGTCGACCGGGGTTAAATATACGGCCGGTCTGGAGGTATAGGCTGAAGGGATGGCATTAATTTGGCAGCGAGTTTATTTATTATGGGGGATTTGCATGAGTTGAAATTATCAGTGGCAGTGTTTAGGTAGCATGACAGTTGCAGGCTAAGGTTTGCTTGCCAGTTTGTGCTTATTATTTTTTGTCTAATTATTTGTTTGGGGATATTTTTAGTGTAAATTATTTGGTGGGAGGATATGGTCCGTATAAGATGGTTTTGTCAGTTATGCATGGCAGGAGTGATGAATATGTTTTGTTGTTATTGTTGTTGTTGTATTATTGGAACATTGATTCCCCTAGAATACAAGAAGAAAGATTTAAGTCTGAAAGACTGCATAGCAAATGTGAGATCATTTGTTTTTTTGTTTTTGTTATAATTCAAGTTGAAATGGTTGAAACTAACTAGTTTAACTTTCAACTATATTTTAATAAGAAGGATTGGACCAACTTATTCAAGCTCATGGGATTCATTCTTTCGAATTTTAATAACGGATAGACGTTATCAGTGTCTTTTAAGATAACAGATAAATGAGCTTGACTATGATTCTAACACTTGCCTTATTTCGTTTATCTATCATGTTGATTATTTTTGTGGGGTATTCTTTTTTTTCTTTGATTGATTGTGATTAATTAGCTTTAATGTTTATTACATGCTAGAAATTTCATGACGTTAGAGTGTAATTTAATAATTTGACATTGTACAAAGATTTATCATACACAGAGAAGAAAAAAAAGCATGGAAGGAGACAGCATGTATTTTTTTCTTTTTATGTGAAAAAATCTTAGAAAGAGAAAAAAATACCAGTTAAAATAATCCATTATATAATCCATGGTACAAATGCTCATACTTTTCCTAAATTACAAAAGATGTGATTACAAAAACAAATGATCAAACCTTTGTAATTTTCGTTATATCGTGCATTAGGTGGGCTACAAGAGTTGTAATTAGTGATTACAAATGCCATAGTTGCCACAATAGTTGTAGTAATTGTTAGAGGTCAAAGCCAAAGTTGATGTTGGTCAATAATGGTTGGTGGTCGACGATGACCTCTATTGATCGATGGTGACATTTGGTGGTCGGCGACAACAAACAAGACTTTAAGAGTTAAATTTTAGTAATCAATTCAGTCTTCTCTTCTCCTCCCTCATTCAAGTGAAAAATGTTGGTCTATTAATAATTTTTGTGAGGGATATTTAAGTAAGTTTGGTCATTCTTGTAAAACACTCCATCAGATAGTTCACATGGATTCTCTTTATCACATGTAATCCTTTCAACAATTTAGTGTCTAAAGCACATCATAATTGATTAATTTTAGGCTTGTTGATTCCTCTCATCATGATGCTCGATCTAAATATAGGCATGCCAACTTTTGAGGATTTTTGGTCTTCTAAATAACGCACCAAAGTTCAATTATATTTCAAGTTTTTAATTTGAACTCATTTGTATTTGTAATGGATCACATTTGCCACAACTGAGTTTGGTTTGTCGAGATGCACAGTTTGAATATAAAATTATTGAAATACGAGCCAAGATTATCTTGAATGTGAATTTGAAATATTTCTAACGCAAAATGCATCATGGTTTATGCCTAATAATTAAAGTTAGGAATGATATTGACTTTATAATAGAGTATTTAATGCCTTAACTTTTAGACTGCAAAGATTAAGCTTAAACAATTTTTTTTTTAATCGAAGGACGATTCTTTTTGGCTGGTATCAGTTTACAAAAAAAATTAATATAAATAATTCTCTTTTCCTTCCTCATTAAATTGAGCTAATAAGGCACCAAGAGGTTTGTTTAAAGTGGCAGGTATAGTATTAATGGTCCCTTAGAATGGGTGTCGCTAATACTTGATATGTTATTAAATATTATTTTATATGAATTAGTGGCGCTAGTACTAGATGTGTTGTTAAATACTACTTTATATTTTCAAATGCTTGTTGGTATTTGTTATCCCAAACAAAGTTGGCTAATTTTTTTTTTTAATTCAAAGCAGAAAAAGATTGACATCTTCTACAAAGGCTAGAGATAAAGTGTCTTAAATATACCAACCTACATTGAAATGATCTCAATTTGGTTAGGGTCTTAGGTGGCGACATTTCTGATGTTGCTTTGATCTTCTCTAGATCTATCTAAATCCCACTATGTCGTACTACAAATCCTAGGAATATCTCAGAATTTAAGTCAAATGCACATTTTATCGGATTCATATTAAAACTATAAAGAGATAAACGGTCGAGTACAATTCTCAGGCAATATAAGTAATCTTCCATTTTTTATCTTTTGATAATTAAGTCATCAACATAACATTAAACTCTTTCATGTATGAGTTCTTCCAAGGATTTAGTCATGGCCTGCAGATAAGTGGCACCAGCATTCCTTAGACTAAATGACATGACTTTGTAACAATAAACTCTATTAGGCGTCCTGAATGTAGTATTTTTCTTGTCCTCTAGAGTCATTATGATTTGGTTGTAACATGAAGAACCATCCATAAATGAAAGTTTCATGTGAAGAGGCAATGTCCACCATTAACTCTGGTATAGGCAGTTGAATTCCTCTTTGGGACACGCCTTAATCAAGATTTTGAAGTCTACACATATACGAATATGTTTATTCTTCTTAACTGCCACAACACTAGCCAACCAAGTAGGGTACCTCTCTTCTCAAACAAAACCATCTTCAACCAACTTTTTGGCTTCGACGGTGACTTGCTCTACAATTTCTAATCTCATCCTTCTAGGAGCTTACTTAACTGGTGTAGCATCTGGTAGTATCTCTAGTTTGTGAACCCCACTTCATAAAACAACCCTGACATTTCTCCACAACTCCATGCCAAACAATCCTTATATTCCATAAGAAACCGAGGATGGTCACCAACTTCTTATTCATTTAAGAGAGAATCTATAAAAGTTGGTCTGGGGTTGCCCTCAATTCCCAGGTTTACTTCTTTCAGTTTATAGACGACTAATAGACTTTTTCTTCCAATTTTGGTGGTAAATTTTCAGCTGCAAGGTCATTCAAATTTTCTAAATAGAGTCCATCACAAAGTTGATTACCTTTTGAGCACTTTTTTTGGGTTCTGGATAACTTGTATAGTCATGATCCTCAAATTCTATTCTAATAAGACGGGCCAACTTACTATAGCTCATGGGATTCATTCTTTCTAATTTGAATCAAGGATTGATGTCATCATTATCTTCTAGCATATTAAAGATATGAGCTTGACTATGATTATAACACTTACCTTAATTTGTTTATCTATCATGTTGACTGTTTTTGTGGGATAATCTTTTTATTTGATGGATTATGATTAATTAGCTTTGATGTTTGTTACATTCTAGAAATTTCCTCTAGTGGTTGATGGTGACCTTTGATGGTCGATGATAACAGACAGGACTTTAAGAGTTAAGCTTCAATAATCTACTCACTCTTCTCTTCTCATCCCTCATTCAAGCAAAAAATGTTGGTCTACTTCTATCATGTAATTTCAAGCATGTAACAAACATCATTGATTGGAATAATTTGGTACAAACTACGCATGATACTTCTTCATGCTAAGCATTGGATGTTCACCTGTACAGTCAAATAACTGATCTATATCAGAAGGGCTTTCCCACATTGGTTTAAACTTATTGTCCACTTTTGGATGAGCTAGAATTGGTCTTCTGACGACTAAGACTAACAGTCCTATCTAAAATGTTCTCGTCAAGCTTGTTTGTGATGGGCTTAAACCAATTGTGACTGATACAATTCTTGATTCTGCTAAGCAAATAAGCGCAATTCTTATATTGCTTGGTGTTCTTCCAATCTCACCTTAACATTCTATTATGGAGGATTCTTTTGATAGGCAACAACCCTTAATAAAGGTATATGGACTTCCTTTGAGAGTATGTCATTGGACCCGTAGACCAATGAAAATAGATTAGATTGAGTTGGGATTCAATACGTTGTTTAGTAAGCCTATAAAGCTTCCACCAACTATCCATGCCACAATCATTTATGACTCTCAAATGTATTTTTCAATATTTGAATAAGAGTTTTGTTGAATGCTTTAACAAGTCTATTAGCTCAAGGATAATAAATGTTGGAATGGCTCTTATAGAATATCTGTTTTTCCAAAAAGTTATTGAGTTTATAACTCCTAAAGAATGGTTCGTTGTCTGATATTATTCATTTGGGAACACCAAACTGATATACAATGTAATTTCTGAAGAATTGCAACACATGATGAGCTCTCACTTCTCTCAAAGGAACATCCTCTGTCTATTTTGAGAGATAATCAACCACTACTAATATAAACCAACGTCCTTTAAATCAAAGAGGATTGCATGGTCTCATGATATATGTGCCCTAACATTCAAAAGTCTAGGAGGGAATCGTAGGGTACAATTAATTTGGCAGTTGATGTAAAACTACACTGTGTATCTGACAATGATAACAATGTTGTGCAGTCTCCATGAAATCATTAATCATAGTTGGCTAATAATAACGCATCCTTTTAATTTTTTCTTTCATTTTGGGATTAGATTTATGAGCTCTTCATAGTCCTAAATGTACGTCTTTAACAATCTTCTGAGCTTTGAGCTTGTTTATAAAATGTAACCGCATCTATTTGAAGGTTCTTAGATAAACTTTGTCGTTCAAAGGGCATAAAATAAAGCTCTAGATTTCAATTTATGAGGTAGGGACTTATTGATAGATAAAAAGTTTCTGTAAGTTAAGTTGGTCAATCATGCAAGTATATTTTTCAAGTAATATGTTGTATCAGAGTTTGCACATTGATCCTACGAAGAAAGTGCTAATAATTATTCTGAATAAAAAAGCTCTAGTTTACTAACTCCATAGACCTAGCTTAGCATGATCACAAGGCAAGAGTTATTCTCAAAGATGTTAAGTAGCAAACAGAAAGTAGAACGCGATCTCAAAAAATAGAAAACTAAAACCTGAAAGAAAACTTGTTGTTCTTTAAGAGAGATGAGGTTGTGCCTCTATGACCCGTGTATCATGGTGTGTCATGGTTTTCTTAAATAGTTTCCTACATGTTAGTATTCAACAAGGGATAAGTTTTCTTCTTAAACATATGCCTAAGTTAGAAAAAGAATAAAAAGCACATGAAGTTAAGTTTCACTTAACTTAATATCATTTCTCAGGATTCTTTCGATCCCCTCTTTAGGTTGCAATATCCTAACTAGAATATCCTAATTCTATCAGAATTCTGTGGTTAACCTAATTATTCCACTATGCAACGATCAAAAGGCAAAGATCACAAAAGATTTTAATAACTTAATTAGACAGACTATGAGTAAATGAAATCTAGAAAGTTAA